AAGTAAATAAAATATAAAATAAAGTAATTAGCTATGCTAATTCTGCCATTTCCTTTTCCCGTGAGTGAACCTCCTGTAAACTTCTTTTGTCAGTAGAACATGTCTCGTGTGGAACATTGTAACTACATAGGATGTAAAATTGTAAAGTATGACAAGTGCAAGGGAGCTGTTTTTCTACTTTCTGCTTATTGAAACTGAATCTGTAAATATACGACTTCAGAGTTTTATCAATTGAACTACAATTGATAAACATACTAATCCCTTCAATTTCTGAGCGGAAATCATTTTAGACACACCATGCTGAATGTTCTAGTCTTTTTTGACAAACATTGCAATTCAACAATCTGGGGACATAGCCATTTTCTTTTTGCAATTTTTTTAAAAAAATCTCATTTCTTTTGGATGGAGGTAAAGCTGGAATTGTAGTCAGTAAGCATCTCCTTTGGGATGCCAGGAAAATAACCAGCTTGGCATACAGGCCTCGGTCCAGTCCTTATGGTAGTTAATTTTAGGTGTTAGCTCCATTCAAAATTGACTCAAATGGCAAGTAGCAGTTTGAAATTGCATCTGGCTTATTTCAAGGGTAATTAGCATTTGGGTTTAATTGCTCCAGTCTTCCTCTTGCAATGCTGCATTGAATACACTAGTAAGCAAAGTGTCGTTATTGCTGGTAACACGTGATTTATTTGACATAATTGCAGTGCAATGCAGTTTCTTTTTCAGCCGATTGCAAGCTTATGGCCTCTGCATCAGAAGACACAACGGTTGCATTGTGGGAACTCTATCCCCCATCGCATTCAAATAAAATGGCATCTAGCTGATAAGCATGTGATAGTCTCATATATATTCTCTATCTTTTGTTATTTCAATATATATATATATATTTATGTATTATCTATCCTTTGAGTAAGTTTGGTTCTAGTGTGTTCAAGCAAGGTTTTTTTTAAAAAAAAAAAAAAAAAAAAAAAAATTGCGTAGGATGTTTCAAGTAATGATTTTTCTTAATTAATTTTTTTCTTCTCCCTTGGAAAATTCAAAATAATAGCATTATCTGCACGCTGATCTTTAGTTTATTTTCCTCTCTTTCGGAGATCAATTCATAAGAAGATCCTAGAATCAGTGAAAACTGCTTACATCATGTTAGGTCTTGGCATATGAAACTAACCAACACCATGATATTGAATTTGGATTGGATTTTCATTAACCTTATCAGAGGGTGTCTTGTTATTTGCACTTGAGAGATGTATACGACCACTTCTACCGTCCATAATATATGGAAAGAAACTAGAGGTGAGGTGTGGTTTCATTTGATAATTTTTATTGTTTACCCTAATTGACATTTGATAATAATTTACTCTTTTGTGGTTTCATTAATTCCAAATAAATTATAAAATGTAGTCTCAGCTTGTGATTCCATAGTTACTATTTCATTGATAAAAATTTATGTATTTTAATTATTAGGTGCTAATTACATGGATAATAACACAATTAATAATATTATAAGTTTTTTTTTTTTTTTTTAAAAAAAAAAAAGAAAACACAATGTAAATTTTGATTTTTCATAAAGAAGTGTGAAAATTAAAAAAATGTAATCTTGCAAGAGAAGCCACAGAAGAAGCTTTTTATAGTTATTGTTAAGAATTTTTACGATAGAAAATGAATTGGTTAGTGTACTTCCATAACTTTGGGCTTCATTTAATCTGAACATTTAAAACATTGTATGTTTACATAGTTAGGTAGTAGTGACTTTAATTATGAAACTAGTTGTTAATTTTTACTCATCTTTATAACTAGTTCATAATCTTTTATTATTCTAATCATTTGTAATAAAAAGTATATATATTTATCATGTACATATTTCAGAATAACATGATTGAAATAATTCATAAGTATTTAGGAGCATATGCTGTTTAGAATTTGAAATTTTTTTGTAAATGGAAAGACGATTAATTATTGAGATAAAATTTTAATTTTTCATTTTTTTGAAAATTACTTTTTTTTTTTTTTTTTAAGAGTAAGTGGGATTTCATCAACATATATATATATATATATAGGTAAATTATATTATACGGAGAAAGATCAAATAACAGAAAGGGGATGATCATCCTATCTTATCCAGCATTAATGTAATTAACTCTTACGTTATTTATTTAATCCATCTCTTGGTTCTTTGGTGTTTCCTTTCTGAGTTTGAAATTGCAGTTTCGTCAAATAATTTACTTATAAATACTCTTGTTAAGAGTAGGTTACGTATTATATTACCAAGGGGGGTTATATATATTAAACTAATTAAATTATCTTTAGTTTTATTGAATCTTTCAACGGCTAACATCATTAAGTAATAGTTTTTTTTTATAAAAAAAATTGGATATAATTATTTTAACAGAAGAAACTAAAACGTAATTAGAATCAAAATTAATGTGAATTTGCACGGGGCACGTTACAAAGACAATGCTACATGGAAGTTGATTGGAATGTTTCAACAACATGAATTATTCTTTCAATTACGTTTAGGACACTAATTTTATTAATTAATTATGAAATTGATGAAACATGATCCATTGACCACATGTAATATGTTACATATATACACGTACCCAGCAAAAAGTGATGCCAATTTCTTCACTAAAATATTCATTCTGACGCATCTACATATTTATTTTTACCCAAAAAAATATATATATATATGAAAAAGAAAGAGAGAGGAGAAACGTCAAAAATTAGTGCAATTATTCTAATTGTTTTTTCCAATACATATTTTGGATGAAATTTAGAAAATTCAGTTTTTCATTTATAATAACTAATAGATGTAAAAGGTCAAGTAATTTAAGTTTTTTGAGTTATTTAGGGTCAGCAATTTGTTGTTGGGTTAAGCATTACAATTAATTATACTATAAATATATATATATATATATATATATGATAAGTGTCATTCAAGTTACATTACTAATATTTAAAAATAATATCAGACTACATCTTAACTTGCTTACACTTAATAACTAAAAATATATAAAATCATTAAACTCAATGTTATAGCTCAAGTCACCCATTATATAAATATAGACAACTTGAATTTTTGAGATTTTATGATTTGAGTATGAAATTTGTCAGATTAGAATAATAATTTTATCAATCATTAACTTTATATTTAGACAGGTTTTTAGTTATTAACAAATGAAAATATATATATATATATACCCACAAAGATCATGCTCCCTCAAGTTGTTTGGTTGCCTTGACCGTCTTCACATTCTTTGAGTCATCTTCGCTATTACATTAGTTGCTTTTGTTTTTATTTGTTATAATTTTGTTGAACCTATTCGATAATTAGCTTTTAATAAAATTTTAATAATATGTTCAATTATTTTTTAATCAATTTAAATATTTTAATTAATGTAAAAAAAAAAAAAAAGTAAAAATGTAACAAATTACAAAGATAGATAAAGTTGATGACTTGTAATTAAGTAAAACAAGGAAAAGAAATAAATAGTTGTGATTCATGTAAAATAATAAGTGGATACATGTTGTGTGTATATGTGTGTGTGCGTGTATATATATATATATATATAGTGTTAAAGAAATTAAAAAGAAATAAATAAACAAGTTGTATGTGTAAAAGACGTGTGTATCTATCTCAACGAGTTGTCAGCCACCTTTGTCTTTACAGTTGCACATAATGAGCCATCAGAAAAAGAGAATGATTTTCACCTACCCTTTTGTTAATGCACACCGAGGAATATTTCTTTGCCAACCCAAACAAATTTCTACATTCGGCAAACTATATAAACGACACTCATACTTTCTATTTATCATTCCACATACTATACTATATGTATATGTAATGAAACCTTGTGCGTACTATACATTCAAAACTTTACACAAAATGACTAGAAAAATAAACCAAATTATGGATGAGACGAACAATCACTTAGAAACCAATTCCTATTATAATATCATCAAATATGTAAAAGAATTATTTGTTTTAAATGCCAGGAGATGATGCAGTCCTTTATTTCCATATATTATAACTTCAGTATGTTGTGTATTTTACTAATCTTTAATTTTAATAATATTTTTACCTTCAAAGAAATTTTAGTAACATTTGAAAAGTTTACTTTCAAACTATCATCAACATTAATAATGCAATGACAAATACGAATTTTTCAAGTTGTATGTTGGAAGCTACTTTTTTTTTTTTTTAATTTTTTTTTTTTAAACCTTGGATGGCAAATAATTGAAATGGCCAAAATTACCAAATGGGTACTTTTATAATTAACATATGATAACAATCTAATCATACCATATGTGTGTATATACACACACACACACACACACACACATATATATATATATATATATTACAGGTATGTGTCATGCGAAAAAGAAGAGTAATGGAATTTGAATTAATAAGCTAATTCCAAAACTTAGAAAAAACAAAAATGTCTTTTAAAAGAAGTCTCTTATCAAAGTTTACTGAATTCGTGTATTAAAAAAAAAAAAAAAAAAAAACCAAATTAGGAAAATCACAAAGTGAGAGAGTAGAATCAAGAAGCAACTCTTTAAGTTTCTGGTCAATTAACCCCACTGAAATTCATATTAAATTTATATTTTAAATTAAAATGTTATATTTAAACATATGATAACGATTAATTATTTATTATACGTATTACAGAAAAAGATGTAGAATTTACTTGAAAATAAAACAAAATTTATATATTTAAAGTGCAAAACTCAAACTTAAAAAAGTCATTAATTCCATTATTAGAAACGTCTTAATGTATTTATGGGAGAGGATTTACAATGACATTTAGTTTTAAATATTAAACAAGCTATTACTCCACTCCAGATCACCTGCAGCTTTTCCTA